GATAATAATATCACGAATATTTTCGGATAGAAGGACTGTGGTTATTTTTAATATTTTATCACTAAGTTGACAACCATTGACAGATATACAAATAACTATATTTAGAATCGCGTATAAGCTGTATAATAAGGATATATCGCTTATATTGTATCCAATTAGTCCTAAGTGGAGTAGATTACTTTATGAGTTATAAAAGTAATAACATTTTCATTTATATCATTAATATCTAACTATAATTTGTTTGTTTTTATTGGGTTAAGTGTATGATTAAAATTTATATGTAAAATTGCCAAAATTTGGGTATCACGAAATATATTTGCTATCCTAAACCTCCAATCGATTGTGTAAACAATAAATTGTGTGTTCAACATAATTGGCATCATTTAAATGTATACGAGAATCGATAAAACTATCCGAGCCACATCGAAAATTTATCGCAAGAAATATTTTATGCGGCGGGCCGCTGTCCGTGCTGGCGACAGGTGCTCGGGCGGCAGTCTATCGATATATCGATAAATTGTATTTTGATAACTTGCACAGCTTTAAAATGTTTAGAGTTCACGTATTTGAATTAAATTAGGATATTATTTACGTTTATACAAATTTTCTAGACTGTATAATTTACGTTAAGTTTTAATGACACGTTTAATTAGGATTGTGAACGTTTATTAGACGGAATTGAGTTAAAGTTCAGTTAAATCCATCTAGTAAAACTCGACGTGAATCTTAGTTTTTGCAGATATAAATACCGATGATCACCGAACGTAGTTTTTAATTTTATTATAATTCTTACTTTAATTCTCTTGTTTTAGTAGTTATGCGTTGTGTTACAACACAGTATATTCCGTCCCAGTGACAAAATTTATTGCGATTTTTTTTGGATAATAAGTATAAATAATATCAGACCTCACTAACCTAAGTAGCGTTTGGGTAATTTTAAGAAATCTAAAACAACATCTAGAACCACGAAATTATTTAGGCATAAAGGTATCATATTACGGCCTTGTAATCCTATTGCATAGAGCTCTGTGGAGTAGTGGAAAAGCGCCGCGGCTTGCGAACGGTGTTGTTGAGTAACTTGCGCAAAGGTCGCTCACGGGATGGGTGACCAAAAAAATTATTATCTCAAGCTACTCGGTGCTTCGGGAGGCACGTTAAACCGTTGATTCCGGCTGCATGTGGAGCCGTTAGTACCCTCCGATTCGCGTTAAGCCAGCGTGGAGGGTTATGGCCCATCCGTATAGAGTGGTTCGCATAATGGTTTCAAGGTGTCGCCATCACTGAGGTTCCGGGTTCGATTCCCAGTCGGGTCTATGTAGAAAATGAAGTTTTCTATATTGTCAAGGGTCTGGATGTTGTGCTTTAAGTATTCGCCTCTATTAAATTAAAAGTGTCATTATAGAGAACTATTACACAAATAATATTTTTTTACAATGATCTATATTAAATCGTGATTTTTTGATTTGAGAATTCTATTTGATTGTTAGCTCTAGACAAAACTGGGCACCTGGGCGACAGTAGGGAGACCAGTATTTGCCAATATCTGATGCCCCAATATCACGGCCAGATATTGCAATCCTAATTGAACGATTTGATTAAAAATGAACCAATAATTTTTGCTTAACTGGACTCTGTGTCTTTAACAAACACTTGGAGTACATCATTAAATTGTATCGCGTTAATATATGCATCCAATCCAAGTACAAGTAAAAATAAAAAAATAAAAATATAACAAATAAAATATTTTTATAATAAACTGATTTGTAAGAACTCCGAAGTGTAATGACTCACACGTCGGTTTCAAGATGTCGTCATATCGGAGGTTCCGGAATCGCTTCCTGGTTGGATCAATGTAGAAAATTAACTATTATACATTGTCTCAGGTTTGGGCGTATAAGAATATACCTATAGTTATAAATCTTTGTAAGTTTTGCATAGTGATTATCGTGACAACGGCAAAACGTAGAGTTTACTCGATTTTATATAAAAAATACACGAAATTTCATGTTATATACGGCATGTTTATCAAAAAAAGAGTATTAATTATTTGATTTTCGCAGTTCAGTTCAACAGAGGCAGTTAAGTTGACTCAACTCGTTGTTCTTTGGTGTTTCAAAAAAATTATATTTAAATTCTAACACGATAGCGTAGTGGTTAGTGCGTTCGCACTGCAATGCGGAAGCATGTTCAGCTATGGCCAGTCATGGGATGGGTGACCACAAATTTATTATCCGACCTCCACCACAGCCACCAACATAATACTGGCACCACGTGGTGGTTCAAGATTCATTCTCTCTATTTGATTATCAGCCAAATGATCTCCTCAACGTGTGATAGAAACTTTATCTGGATTTTGACTTTGATTTGAGGAATCAAATCTATAGAGTCTTTAAGTAGCCCCAGCAGAGGGGACATTGAGAAGCCGATGACGATTACGAAATTCTAAATTAGAAACTGTTTAAATGTATTAACTTATTTTTAATGTCAAGGAGTACACAGCGAGATATCTCGAATATCGTTTTAAGAATAAAACCCCAGTTTCATCTAACCTCGTAGTAGGGGCTGAGCAATTTCTTTTCACATTTGAAATCTGCAGAAAAATTACGTTACGGTACGGTATTTTTCAAAGAACCATCTAACTTACTTATATATTATTAATATTAAACAAAACATAAAGGGAAAAGACTTTAGCGTTTTCTTCGCGAACTCAGATTCCTTTTGATTGATGAAAATTGTTGTACGCTTCTTAAATATGTTGGAAAATGCCAAGTTTTTGAATTGCACGAGAATTTCATGAAATATTTAAATGGAATTTCTGCTTGGAGGGGGAGATTTTTAACGGTACTGTTCATGGTAAAATCTTAAATTATTAAATGGCATATGCACAGAAACGATTTCTTTTGTGTGTAAGAATATCTGAATGTCGATTTATTACTACAAATTCAGCTTGTACACAACCTCAAGTAAATTCATTAAGCGCTCCAATTACTATGGAAATATAATAAAGTTAGTTTTGATTAATCCCATGAACTTTTAATTGCAACTTAAGATATGTATATTATTATTTAAAAGGAAAATACTAAAACAATGTCTGTGAACATTTGGACATTGTAAGTAAAATGTGATGAATGAAATGAACAAAACACTGTAACCTAGCAAAAGTCCTTGTATGTGCATCATCCAGACCCGGGACAATTAACCTGATAAGGATAGGAACCGGCACATGAGCTACTCAACCATTGGGATATTTATTTACTAAAATAAAACCTACGAGTAGTTTATAAGATATTGAATATCGAAAATTCTGGAATTGGTAATGAATATATTTTAAATACTCATATTAATCAATCTGTTTCATATAAATGATTGCTTCATATTATGTTCTTTTACCATCACAATAGCTGCTATTTAATCGGCGAACACAAACAAAAGGTGGATTAATAACGAACCACCAATACATTTCTTATCAGATGCCCTAAGCATTGTATTGTTTTTATTTGCGGAAAAAACAAAAGCAACAGTCTGTGTTTGTTGATCTCGATTATTTTATTATTGAACAACGTTGTTCTTACCGAACAAAAGTAATTTTCCGATGCCGAAAGGAAAACAAAAATACACTCGAATTTCCTCACGTAATTATTTTCCATTTACCTATTCGTGTGTTGATTAAATATCAAACGTATAGCAATTAACATGAAATACATTGTTCCACTAGATCTTTACATAATTGAATTCGTTTGAAATCCGACACATTCCAAATCTTACTTAGTTTTTGGTATATAATATATACAATACTGTACGTTTGTAAATAATTACATCATAACTAAATACCTACCCAATAACTAATTGGAGTAGGAATCAAAGAGAATCTCTATTTATTTCCATTAGCAGAGAACCACGTCACACCAAGCATAATCTTGGTGAGTCTCGGTGTACCTGCTTATAATACTACTGGTTTCAATTCTATCGTCTGACATCTCACAGCCAAAGGAGCAAGCCACTGTTTACTTTCAACATACTTTTAAACATACACTATTTAATTAAACAGTAAGACCTAATTTTAATTTAGTTATACTATACATTGTGCTGATTTAAATAATACAAGAAATCTAGTTGTTCTCCTGTATACTATAATATAATAGATTTACTCCTGATTTGATGGGGAATTTAAAAATATACTGTAAACGCAACATGGCGACATTGGGTATCACTGAATTTATAATGTTCTGTGCCACAGATTGTTACCACTATTTATATACTATGTAAAATCATGTATTAAAAAATAAATTTATTATACCAAATCATATATTATCAGAGTTCACAGTACCAAACTAAACTAGGTTTATGGATGTAAAAATATTATATATAAGTTATTTTAAATTATAATAACTTATAAATTATATTGAATCAAATAATATATAAGCTTTCAATAAGGGTGAAGGGCCCCTTGTGACCCCCGGGCGAATACTCTCACCACTGAGGTATCCTCCTGGATTACTCCTCCTTAACCATCAATAAGGAAGGCCAGTGCCCCTGCAGTGGGTACGCAAAAGGGCTGATGATGATGATGATGATGATGACTATTCTTTTTTTGTATGTAGTCTGCTTTTAGTTTTGGAACTTTTAATTTACATAGATATTTATAGTACGGTAATCTTTCAAATATTATGCCACGTTTCCAGTTGTAACTTTAATAATGTTACTGCATATTACAAAACTAAATTACAGTACAAATTAGAAGAGATTTGCAATTCGAGCTTTTATGACATGTATTAATTAAGACAATAGACAATTATTATTAAATTGGGTATTGTATCGTATTGTTAAAAGTATAATAAAACCAAGTAATTTTAGAGAAGGAAAATAATGCATTATACGAGAGATAATAGTCAATGTAATGTAATAGTAGCTAGACAGACGTCTGTGTAATTTGTTTCTTAATTTTGACAATGTAGTCTATAAAGAAAGTATGTTTTTCCACTGTTAACAAATAGACTCACCTTTAAGGAGCAGTACGTAGTTTTTCTTGTCGTCTCCTCCCTTGGGGTATTCCCAATCGACGTCCAGACCGTCGAAGTTCCTATCCCTTAGGTACGGGATCGCTGAGTAGATGAATGTCTGTCTCGCGTACCGTGTTGCTGACATCTCCTTGAACTTTTGAGTACCGAACGACCAGCCACCTGAGGATAAAGTGATCCTTGTATACTTCATATTATTTTAACCTTCATGATCCACAAATAGCAAAACTCGGTACCATAGATAATGTTAATGTTAAAAAATAATTTAATCTTACTTAGGCATTTACGTTAGGAATATAGTTTTCTACGGGGTTGCTACTGTAACGTCCGTACACAATACTATAGGTAGGTTTACTCTCCGGACGGTTTATGGTCAATGCTGGCCGTTAATATTTTAAATTATTACTTTTTCCGTATTCGAATTCGCGTGTTCGTGTTTTGCTGGTTGACAATCAGTCTTTCTGATCGAGACCGGAATAGAGTGAATATCATAGTATTTCGTTGTAAGTGATTTAATGTTATAACAATTGCAAATAAAATCAAGACTGCGGAATTCTCCCAGTTTTGCATTGCGCCCATCTTCACCATGAGATTAAGTTATTAGACTACCATGTATCTTGTATATAATGAGTCGAGCTTTCAACCGATCTGAAATATCGGGAACATTATCTTAGAATAATTCCTAGTATACATGTTATGTTTTCAGGCGCACTATAAAGCATCTGAATCGTATTAAAGACATAATAATTTTTCAAAAATACACACGATCAAAACGTTTAAAAGACTTTTTATACTACAATCTTTTTATTCGATTAATATGTTGAAGTGTATTAAAATTCAATCTTTAGTGTTGAAAATAGTTTGTATGTTTATAAAATTATTATAAACGGATAAGAAAGTTACAATCCTGGTAACTAACAGTAATCCTAAGAGGCTACTCTGTTTGTCTACGAACGAGAATTATAAAAAATTTGAATAGTTTTTACAATTTTTTAAATATCATATGCGTCAATATTGGTCCTACCTCCGTTTCATTATTAATTATCGAAATGTGTTCCTTTAAAGTCGTATTAGTGTTTCGAAAACAGACGAATTTTCGTTTTCGGAAAACATAATAGGGCTTCTGATATCTTCCAAAATATCGAATATAACCCGTTGACATAAGTTGTAGATAAAATAACAGCTACAATACATTAAACTGAATTATATCTTATTCATTTCAATGTTTATTTTTTTTATATTTAATAAGAAACTTCGCATAATTTGTGCTTGAAATTTTTCATAGTGTCCCGTAACTTTATTCCGTTATTATAATTTATATTTAAAATTCCTACATTAAAGAACAAAAGTTTAAATATTATCGGGCTAAAACCTTTTGCCATGCGGACTCTAAGCGCTTGAGCTGTACAAGAGCAAGACGGTTTTTAATAAAACGACTCGGGTCACTACAACAATAATATTGCAAACTCAAATTTATTATTACTGACATCAACGAATTTCTTGGATTAAGTTAATTTCAATTAAGTAATGGGCTCAGTTATCCAAACGACCTGACAAATATCCTTTAATCCTTTAAGAATTCGTCGTTTCAGTTTGTTAAATACCCAATCAGTCTCACAGATAGTGAAACTTGAATTGTATAAGAGTGTAAAGCGGTTCACTTGAAGAGTACTTAAACTAAGAGAACTTTAAAGGGCACAATTTAAGGCTTAATAAATCGAGCCAGGAGCTCGATAGCGGCCGTTTGGTCTGCGATGCGGAAATTGAGCAACTTTTGTAAAAACGGGTCAAAGAATGGATGGCCAAATATTAATTATCATGCTTCAGAAGTAACATTTATCCGTTGATCGGGGTTGAATGTGCATGGTTATTAATACTCTCCTTCTTCCCGGTTCTTTAAAGGATTAAAAGAGGAGAGAACTACCCTTGGCTGAGAGCAGGACGGAACAGGTGGTGGGTGTGGGAGAGACAGAGAGAGGTATCGACGGACTATTCTAGCTTTGTCGAGCCCTTTGGAGTCTCGCCAAGCCGAGTCGCCATTATTGGTCCGTCATAGAGTTTCAACCTCTTTACGCGTTGGAAATTAGTAAGTCGAAACTACGACAGAAGAGTAATTCTTTTTAGTTAGCATAATTACAGAAAGTCAGTCGCGTTTCAACTACAACCTGTTACGACAAAGTTATAGTAACAAGATACAAAGTATGAACTGATTTTTGAGGATGAAATTGCACTGCAATTGCATAATTTAATTAGAGATTCTTTTGAGATGCGATTGTTACGTAAAAATTGCCAGAATTGAGAGGCCCTGATATTAATTTAAGATTTTTATTATAAGCTTGTCGTTACTAATTTTGTTCTGTTATTACATTTCCCATTTTCCATAGTACAAGAAACTGGATAAATAACGAACAATAACCAGATATATTTAACTAACACAAAGGCTTATTTGACACAGATAAAGCGCATAATATAACAGTGATTAATAAAAAATATTAGTCGTGTCTTGGCGTAACACGACGTTGCGTCACGCCCTACGCTTATGAAAATGGGAGCGGTTTTTGTGCCTGAAAACGGGTGAAAATACTCGATTTGTGTCCGTGGGAATGCTGTCGCGTTCACACGTACTAGTTATGTAACAAGTTTTATCGATATCGATAAACATTATTTAAATTGCCACGAAAGGTTTATAAACTCATTATGTTGAAGTCAACAGCCTAATTCAAAGCTAAAGTCAAAAGAATAGTTATAATCACAATTAGTTTTAATATCAGAATTATAAGTAACTTTGATTGTATTCAAATAAGATAAAATAGTAGAGTAGCTTGGTGGCGTAGTGGATAAGCACCGCGGCCAGCGATCGTTGTTGTTAAGCAAATTTCGCCAGGGTCGGTCATGGAATGGGTGACTAAAAAAATATTATCTCAAGCTACTCCGTGCTTCGGGAGGCACGTTAAGCCGTTGGTTCCGGCTGCATGTGCAGTAAATAATACCCTCCAATCCACATTGGGCCAGCGTGGTGGTTCATGGTCCATCCTCCTTAATCATCTATTAGGAAAGTCTGAGCCTATGCAGTGAGGACGTAAAAGGGCTGATGATGAAATTTTTTTTTCATTTATATCTTTACACATCTGTGACCTCTCATATTACGCAAATGCCAAGCGCAAGGCACCGCATATGACATTTTATTACTTCAAACATTGCCTAAAATCATTGATGAATTGTATCATTATCTTAGGCGATTCCTATATATTTAGACAACAGAATTGGGTGACTCATGTGTTTAGTGAAAACAGGCATTAGTTTAAATTACATCGTGTTTTTCTTAACTTTTAATATTTGCATTTCTTTTATTGTTAAACGGACAAAGGAGATTAGATAAACAAATCATTAATTATTATCAGTAATTAAATATATTTAAGTACCACCATATGTTTCCAGAATTAACAAATCGCGTGATAGAACCTACATATTTACTGATAAGTTAATTGAACTCCTATTAATGCAATTTACTTGTTATATATAATTAACATTAATCATAACTTAATTGAAATAATGACTTCTCTAAGTAGTTATTATTTACATACAAAGGTGCAAAGTAGTAATTTTACAATAACAATAAAACAACTTCATAAGACGATGAATGCAATAAATATTGAAAATTGAAAGGAATTTCTGGCTATTACTACGCGGTTTCGCAAATATCATAAATAAATATCGTATTTTTTAAATTATTCCCACGTTCTAATTAATATATTACGTTGGCGGAAAATTTTGTACAGAGAAACACCGAGTGAAGTTCGACAGTTGTTACTATATTATATTTATTCAATCGAAACACACATGTTTTGAAACAAACAATGCATCGGAAACATAAAATATTAACAGCATTGTTTGCGGCGATTTTTTCATTCATGAAATGTGGATATTTTTCTCTGTTATAAATTAAAAATGTAGCTTTGAAACTTTTTTTATTTGGCAACATAGTAAGTAAATAATGTGGCGGGTAACTATTAGCAAATTTATTTTTATTTAAGACAAAGAGATCTAGTCCATACAGACTGGTGACTGACATTTATTCCTTTTAGGAGCTTTTCGACCAATCGCAGGATGTAGGAATTCAGTGAAGTACGCAGGAAAAGATCACCCATTCGCATTTTCGCGCTTTTCTTGTCTATATGACCCACGTACCGTATTAAATATTTTATTTAATTACACATTATGCACTTTCATGATACTTTGTCTCACATAATAACATCATATACGAATATTACGGCCGGTTTCGGAATTGAGAAAAGTAAGATTATCCTCAATAACTTAAGTTTTTCACGTTTTACATGGCAAACAGTCTTAATTTTATCCAACTGCTATCAACTTATCATTAATAAAATTAAAATCAGAAACGAAAACCTGTTTAAGTGACGTTTGAAGTGGCTTATGTACAGTTTGAGACATCTTAAACTTTAAATCCTCAATTCAGAAACCAGGTGTTAATTCTATAAGTAATATGCAATAGGTAACGTTTGATGAGTTATAGGTATCTTCTATTGTTGTACAGACTGTCGAACTCTTGATTTAATAAAAAACTATACAACATTTTCTCCGCATAAAGCTAATGAAGGGAATTGCTATTGGAAAGGAAATACGCGAGGTTTGGAAGCCAATAATAGCTTCTAATTGGCTCGTTACGCTATGAACCGGAGTGAATACTTGTAATGGCTAAACGTGATACGTCCAATAATTCGTTACTGAAGAATTTTCTTTGAAAAGGAAATTCTTATTTTTTATATAATGGTAATTATTTTCTCCGCCATACTCCTCATAATCTTTTTTTTTTTGTAATTTATTGAGAAAAAAATTGGTAGATCATATCGTTATTACATTTTTTAAACGAAATGTTAACAATTCCCAGAATATGGCTTCTGGGGTATACAAAAATCTCGCATTATAAAATCAGTGTTATAGGATCAGTGTTATACTACTTTTTCTCACATTTCGCTATAGTATGCTATGCGGTCTCTGATCTTATTGTCTCCGAAGCAATTATGATTCAAAACGCCTCAGAATTTTCGGTGTCTTTGACTCCCGGTTTGCTATATTCAATTTTTTATCACTAAGCTGTTCGTTTTATTACTTTTCTGATCCAAGCTGAAGTCAATAATAACTGTATAACTAAGCAATTATGCTTAAGCAAGCATTTATAGATATACAAGCTTTCCGCTAGCGGCTTCACCTGAGTGGACGCTAGGGAATTGTTTAGTGGGACAAAAAGTAGCCCATATGTTAATCCAGGCTTAGAGATTAATTAAATAATTAATTTGGATAGTTTCATAACATGGCACGGATATAATTACACAATTACGATGACTAATTGTATAATAAACAATTTTTACTATGGAAATGTTTTAATTCCTTGTACAAAGTTCCACTCCTATTTTCATCTCTTTATTAGCTGTTTTCATGATAAAATATAGCGTATATCCACCGCATATGTTGTAGCGTATTTTTTATCAATTTTTTAAATCGCTCTATTAGTTTCGGAGCCTATTCGATGCAAACAAACAGATAATCAAATCTTTTCTCGTTATAATATTAGTAAAGATGTGTCTGTTTATAATTTTATCCCTAAATCCTTAATAATATAACTAAATCCCTTGTTTTCGGCACTAAAGTAATCACATGGTTTATTGGTATCAAAACTTACAAATAGTTGAAATTTCAGTGAAAATTCGGGAAATTTGCCTTGTTGTCCAAGTTTAGAATTTCGAAATTGACAATTATATAAGTTAATAAGAATATAATTAAACGCAATGACATTAATGCAAGTTAAAATATATGTATATCACTTACCAATAGCCAACAAAGTTTTCAATTTAGGATTCGCCTTTTTCAAGCTGTTTATCCTGTCGTATAATCCTGTTTTACCATCTTTTGTTTCGTCGTTTGACTCGAATGAGCTGAGCTTGCCCTTCTTCAGCCAGCCGAAGGCGAATATGATATGAGTGCATAAATCAGGCTGTATGTCCTCAGGTACGAATTTACCGACCTTGGTTCTGTATTGGGACCAATTGGTGTAATAGCAGACCACCTGGAAAAAATTAATATGTCAAGATAATCGTTTCTATTTTAATTAAGAAAATGCTTTTATGGATGTTAACGTTATATCACGTTGACGTTGTGCTTAATAGAACTGCAAAAATACACAACAACGTTTTAAAAGAAAGAAAACCTTTAATATATCATGTTAAGGCAGCATATCCTCTTAACTTTTCAGAGAATACTTTTGAAGGCCGACAACTTAACTTTGGTTGCGCTCAAAAGCTTATTCATATCCGCGTTGTACTTTTGAATAGCACATTTAGTTTTGTCACTGAGGAGAATTAGCCGGGGCTATATGCGATGGACTTAAGGTTGAATGTCGTGTGACACGTAACTACGCCGCGTGTAATATAAATTATTGTTTAGTGTCACATAAGGTTTTACGCTTTTTCCGGAATGTACTTTAAAAGCCACGTTTATTAAAAAATTGCAAAGCTAACTAACAATATTGACTAAAACTAGTAAAGAAAAAATACATGAAAAGATTCTTTAGGACGAAAAATCACGGGGTTATTCATTTCTGACCTCATGGGTTTATTTATGTCAATTATTGTAAAATAAAAAGTAATTTATTAAGATCTGTACAAAGTGAATAAGTAATACCTTATATCCATCTTTTTTCTTGTGTTCGTCAGTGCCGACTGAATTGTCTAAGGCAGCTGACGACTTTCTGCTGGCAACGCTTGGTCGACCACGGATCTTAGGTCTGTTCACGCTCGCCGATATCACCTGATCCGTAGATTTAGATACGCTGGTTGTCACTGATGTCACTTTGCTAGGCTTCCGGAGTCTTCTTCGTACATCTATAAAAAAAAGAGATAAATAAATCTTACCACACTTAGCTATTTATACAGAAATGTAGCGAATGGAACAACATTTAAACGATTTCATTATTGACGTCGAATGTGTTGATTGTCAGAAAGTCAATTAGTGTTATGTGAACACGGAAACTATTAAGGGGCTGAAACGTCAATAAAACTAAATACAAACGCGATGAAGCCGTTAAAAAAGTGTTTCATTTATGAATAATGCGAGTGAAAATATAAAAAATAAATAAATAGAAATGTAGTGATTTCTTGTTATGTTTGGTAAATTTTAAATTCACAGTGCTATATTGATATTTAAGCTTTATTGAAAATATTTGACGATGACACAGACGGATGTTTGACGAAATTAATCCTCGATTCGAAAGCTATCGCTTCTTCATTACTTATGTATTAAACATACACAATTATTGATTACTCATTGCAATGTTTGTTTAGCAAAAAAAAAATCGCTATACAAAAAAATCCCTCGAGAAATTATTAAAATATACAGAAAAAAACATTCACTTCAGAAATATACAACACACGACCACTATTTTCCAATCTGTTCCAAGTAATAAAATCCTTGCACACTCTGAATTTCAAAGGCTCATGAGGGACGCGTTGTAACTAATAGCCTGCACCTATACTTATTCGAAAAGCAATCTTATCTTCTACCGATATGGTCTTTATTCGAAATAAATATCTCTGAGAGTATTTTTAAAATAATGGTTAAGAAGGAAATTGTTTTAATGGACAGTCCTGTAGGTAAACGCGTGATATTTTTTCTTTTTTTTTATGGAAACAACATCTTATATATTTTCAAATTTTGCATTAACAATGTAACTAGTCGAAAACTTAACTAGTAGTTAAAGTAGATTTAGATGACTTGATGTCTGGTACTTTTTTCGTAAATAAGATCGATTGTCGCCCCCGAAACTCCCTAATTAAGATAAAAATTTTCATAGAATTTATCCATGAAAATCTTTGGAGTCGTTTTCGAGATTCAGAATATATATATATGTCGTTGGTCAATCGGTAAATTGGATCGATCGAGATCTATCCGGGCATACCACGATATGCCGCCATTTCTTGATTAGGCCCAGAAAATCACAATCGGCCAGGTTAAAAGTTTGGAAGATTGACGAGAGCAATTTATTAATAAATAATTGATTATTACTAACACTTAATTTTATTTATTTACATACAAACTTTGCTTTGCTTACATAGTCCTTTGGTTATCCTACAAAATCGATTGGCCTGAGTATCATCATCATCATCAGCCCATATTCGTCCACTGCTGGACATAGGCCTCCCCAATTGTACGCCATCTACTTCGATCCTCGGCTGTTCGCATCCAGCTCCTGCCAGCCATCTTGCGCAAATCATCGCTCCACCGCGTCTGAGGACGTCCTACACTACGTTTGCCGAGACGCGGTCTCCACTCAAGGACTCGTTTACCCCAACGGTTATCGGTTCTGCGGCTAATATGGCCAGCCCACTGCCACTTCAGCTTGCTAATCCGGTGGGCTATGTCGATAACCTTGCAATGGCTATGTCTACAAAATCGATTGGCCTGAGTATAGTCGGGCAAATTGTCAAACGTTAAGCAATGAACGATGTGGCGGATGATAGATGGTCAAATCAAGAAATGGCGGCATATCGTGATATGCCCTGGTAAATCTCGAGCGGCCCAATTTTACTACATATTATAAGTATATAACAATTTGTCGTTTAAAGGTATTCAATGTGCTTAAGAAATTCAATCCTCAGTGAGGATTTCACTTGATCAGAGGAGTCGCCTGGTTTATGGAATTGGACATTATGACTTGGATATTCTGGTATATTTTGATATATAATCGAGATTATTAATATAGATTTCTCACTAAATCATAAAAGACAATGTATTGGCATAATATCATAAATCGATTAGTCTGATATACTATCTCATATTTCAATTGTTTCATCTCTCAATCTGATCAAAAGTGCGGGTATTGATGATTAGCGAGTTTGGTCTGACGCGGAAGTTAAGCATCTTTCGCCAGGATGGTTGCCAAAAATTTACTATTGTCAGTTCCTCTGTACTTCGGAAGGCATGTTAAGCCATAAGTTTCGGCTGTAGCGGTAGTCTTTAAAATGCACAGAACCCCGTCCCCATCGCCCTATTGGTCTTAATGGTTGGTTAGGTTCATTTTTCCTATTTTGATTATATTATAAGTCTCTCGAATAATGTCCACTTATTGTGAGGCATTTTGCTTACTGAATTTATTATTATTTTAAGTATCGGAGTTCACTGAATAAGTAAAAACTGATTATAGTTCTATTAGAGCTGGTGAGTTTCTTGCTCTTTCTTCTTATCATCCAAAAGACGTTCTGAACGAGCAGCAAGGTAATTTTGGACGATTCAAAAGTACTTGAAACCAGTTTACTTGAATAAACATATTTTAAATTTGTTTTTATGCTTACCAGAACGTATTCCAGCGTTTGCTAAAGATTTATTTCAACGTTTGAAAACATGCACAGGCATTTTAACATACGTTTTTCGTTTTTGACGTGTATCGAACTTACGACAGTCCTATTTTGCGAGTGAAATTTCAGCTTTTTCGGGTACAAATAAATTGTCGAATTACACGCTATAAATTCCGATACTGTCCGAGCGTATCGCAGATCCTCCATATATTTGAGTGGCATTGAAAAAAAAACAAGGATAAAAATGTTTCAACTGAACGATTTTGAAGGAGCACCATTGGTTAAGCTTTATTGCTTTTATAATTTAAATATTTATATTCATAATAAAAATATAAATGCAAAAGTAACTATGTATGTGTGTCGTAACGTTTTCACGCCTAAACTTCTGGAATAACTTTTATAAAAGGTTTTCAGATAGAGTTGAATTTGGAAAAAGACATAAGACAATACTTATTCCGAAAAACATAAATACCACGCGGGCAAAGTCATAGACGGAAAGCTAGTTTATTATAAAGGAAAGTCTGAAGCTTTTTGAAATTTTCATAGATGATATATAATTGCAAAGGAAAGTAACGACATCTGGAAGAGTATACCTAAAAGTTTATACTAAAAATTATATTCCTAATAATAATTCTTTATTGAAATTTTGTTACACTTTGAAATAAATTAGGCAAATGCGTTAACTGAACTTGAATTTCCTGGTTTTATACACATTATTGATTTACAAATCCAATTATTGGGATTAATTTGAGTGTGTATTTTACGAGTAATATTCCATATCTAATTACTTTCTCTATCATTACTTTATAGAAAAGTAAGTGATTCAAAATTGAATGAATGAACGAATTAGTGACTTGACTGTGCATCACAAAAAAAATTGGAATAAATTAGTATATCAATAGTAAAATTTGGAGGCTTATCGCTAAAAAAACAATTTCTTTTAAGCTAGGTTGGACTGAAATTATTGATTTAATAGATAGGTAACGAAATCCCAATAATAACTTGGTTCAGCTGAGGTATGTATTCGTAATTATTTTTTTCATTATGTTAAATAGTTTTTATGAATACTTTTTCGGCGTTTGACAACTATTAAATTTGAAAGTCATTGACGTATGTAAATGCCACAACATTTGAGAACTCAATGACCTATCTAGGTAATTTTATTCTTAAGTTTTTTTAATCATATTCTCTACTTTTTCAACGTCTAATAACAATTAAAACCCACGAAATAGGCTAAGAAAACCTATTGACTTCGTAATACTTTTTAAAAACGATATGTTTAAAGTAAGTATCGCAGCTGCAAGTCACATTTTCAGCTCGGAATATGATATTAACGAAATACACACAGCAACACGTGAGATTGTGTGAATGAATTCTGCACTTGATTTTGAGCTCTCAATTGTTGAATTTGTCAAACTGTGTATTATTGTGCTGTTGACTGTACATTTTAAGTTTATTTATTTATTTGACATTTGTTGTTGCTTACATTGATATAATTCAAGTTACTAATTCAAGTTTAGGAGCTCTACCTAAACAATTTTGCCAGTAAGGCAATTTTTAACAATTATTTTAGCGATTCCATAGAGAACTTTGCATAAATTCATTGAAGTTATAAAGACTAACAGGCTAAAGCAAACTCTTAACTTTTTTATAAAGTGAGTATCAGACCTTCGGGCAATCTATTTTACGCTTTTTTTTTCTTTTTTTATTCTAGATAGGCAAGCACTTGACAACAGATCACCTGATGGTAAGCAATGCAGTGGTCTAAGATGGAGCGTGCTTGCCTATAAGGAACCGATTCACTCTTGACTTGAAGAGTCCCAGATTGTATTTGCCCGGAAACAGCGAGTCCGGTAGCGAATTCCACAGCTTTTGAGTTTAGTTTGTAATGTTTCGTCTACTCACTTGTTGAATCTGATGTGGGTGCTATAACTGCTATTATGAGAAGAACGGTGATGCTCCACCGCACCAACTTCGGTGGCCACTGTAACAATAAAAAAATAAAAAATCAGTACACGAAGTAACCTTTCGTTACAGAAAATAGACAGGAGGCACGAAATTTATATTGACAGTAACATTTCGATAGCGGAGTGGTTAGCGCGCTCGGTCTGCGATACGGTTGTTAAGCAACTTTGGCAAGGGTCGGTCGTAGGATGGATGACTTAAAACTTATCTCTAGCTCCTCCGTGCTTCGGAAGGCACGATAAGTCTCTGTGGGTATTAACGACTAATGGCTACACCCGCTGGGCCAGCGTGGTGGGTCATGGCTCATTCTACCTATTCGATTCCATTCATAGAGAACGCCTGAGCCCCAACAGTGGAGACATTATTAGGTGATGATGACGGTGAACTCACATTTTAATTAAAATATGTCATGTACTTTTTTCATTACAAAGCTATAAAGAATCTACTGAATTATTATGTGATGAAAACTGTAAACATTACCATAAAATATATTTATCCGCATTTTACAAGCGGCTTTAGCGATTTTCCATTCTCCCTTCCGAGCCATTTTCATAATGGTCCCGCCCTTGAGGGAGAATTACCGGATCCTACCGGAATATAGCGGATCTGACTACATAGTACTAGAGTGACTAGGCGTTAAAACTAAAAAAGTTGGACAATTATGCCAGACATTTAGTAAAGAGAATAAAACTGCCAAAAGTTATTGAAGAAAAATAAGGATTTTTTGACGATTTAGTCTTATTAATGATAAACAGTTTATATTTAGTCTTGACTACTACGGGTTATAGATAAAACTAACTCCAACAGATTTACGTGACTGCCCACAAATAAAATTTTGGTCACCCATCCGATGACTGATCTTTGTGAATGTAGCTCCACTTTCGCAACACCAACAACTAATAAAGCACCAACTATCGCATCATTGTACTAATCAAAGCCCTGATTGATTTTATGTGAACGCATGGTCACACTATTGGTACCCGTTGAAAAAACGTCCGGATTTACGCGTCCTACCCGCTAACGGGTCATTTTTAAACGTCGAGTAAATTTAAAACGATCGCTTGAATCAATTTTATTGAGTCAACAAATTGAAATAAATTTTAGCCTTTAACAGATGGTTTAATTATTAATAGAAATTAGTCGTCTTACCATCTGACGCTACTAAGGTCAGTAGGAAAATAATTAATTACACATATATCTAGTGGTTCAACTACTGCTAGCTAATTAGAGCAAATCAATAAATACTCTATTATTTAAAATCGTTACTCGATTTACATTTAAGTATTATTGGATTGAAAGTGGAACGTAATATGAATCTGTAATCTTCGAATAATATTTAATGGATACAGTAATCGATTAGCAAAGCTTCATGTTAAATTAAGACCAATTAAGCTAAGCTAACACAGAACTTTCTCGAACGTTGTTTAAACTAGTTATCCATGACTAAATACAGTATATCGGTTAGATATCGCAGCGTTTCACATTATTAAGTTATATACAGTGGCGTAGATAATTATACTATTTAAGGCTCGTGGCTTTGATTATATGCTGTAATAACTAAAATATTTTTGGGTCCTTCTTGGGCTGGCTGGATAGCATTTGACAGTTTTATTACCCTTGGTGTGCAGTGCGTGTCTCGTAAGATACAGTATCGTATACTGCGCAAGACTTACCGCGCACCAAGGAGTATCAAAACTATAGTATGAAATTGCCTAATTATAGTTTATATAATGTTGGAAATGTTAATTTTGGGGTACAGTACCTCAAAAAGAAATAATGGAATTCGGAACTGTTAATACATTTAAAATGCTGTTGATACATTTAAAAAAACTTCTGGGAAATTTATCTTATTACTATCTCAAATAAATGTTACGTCTTATCGTAAGAATTTCAAATATTAATTATTAACTACCTATAATATTTTAATACAGTTGAGAAGTTGTTTAAGAAGTAATGGAATTTACCCCATACTATCTTTTTTTTTATCTTGATTTCCGAAAGGAGTGATTATAGTATATGGTTTTTAAAATAAGAAAAAGATTAAAAAAAAAATAAAGTAATATATGTACACACAGCTTAAGATGCATGATGAAAAATAAGGACAACGCTGCCGGCTGTTTTAATTTGAAGTCACTATTATTCCCACACAATAAGGATGGCGCAAATTGCAAATAAAAAAGCGACTGCTTACTATTCGAAAATACTATGTATTTTTATTTTTTTACTATCACCACTGGTTAAAAAGTGGATTTTTTTAAATAAACTTACTGCTATTACTAATACTGTATATTATTCTTCAAATCATATTCAATTTTTGCTGGAAGCAATTTCATTAGGGTGTACATAATACATGATATAAATAAAATTGAATTATTTCAATTCTCAATAATATGATTAATATTTTATCCGGTTGAGTAAATAGAAACCTCTAAAACACGCAGTCGCGGTTTCCATGTTAGCTTTTTAAAAGCGATTTTTTTTTTATAGAGATAAGAACAATAAAAGTATTTATTCATTATTTAATGTTACAATTATTGTTAATTATACCTTATAAGCATTTCTAACTGTACAAGACTCAACTATAAGCTGTTAATTTAACCAAATTTTGTTAAATTGGAGCTTAAATATACATGTCTAATATTTTTTAAATAATTCTTATGTACCAAGAAGGTTTCTTCCTTTTTCATTGTGGTTTGCTCCCTTAATGTGTGGTTCTTATTCTACATAGTTCTAACAAGTTTATGGTGACGAAGATATAAAAACGGTTTATCGTATTATAATGTAAACATATATTATGTAGACTACGTTTCGTATCTGTATATTAAGCTACAAACATAACAGTTCTGGCGCGCTGGTCGCCACAAGGCCAAACGAAAGGAAAAGGAGTGAACGCAAAAACGACTTGCACAGACTACTTACACATAGAGACTAAAGTGTCCAAGCGAGTTTTCATCTATACTAATATTAAAGAGGTATAATTTGGCTAAAAATCTAAGTCCGTTTGTTTTTTAAAAGAATAAATGACCCCTGTGGAAACTGAGAAGCTATAATTTACGCGGGCAAATTGCGACAAAACAGTTAGTATCTCATTAATCAGACATTAATCTTTCCAGGAAATTATCACTTATTTACTCGGAAAAATACTCTAACATAAGTGCATTCTAATCACGCTTTTATTTGTATAATGATTGAGTAGATCTTTAGGTAGCCCAGTTACAAGCACAAGTTCTAAATCTGGGCATATTATTATGTTATGTTTATTCTATTCTCAGAAAGTAAAATTAAAAATTAAAAGCTACCAACATGCATATCGTTGGTAATAATACATCATGAATTATAGATTTCTTATTTAACTACTCATTTCTCTGCAATTGGTCGAAATTTAATTGGATATACTTATAATTCGCTCCCAGTCAGATTTTTATCATTACCAAACTAAAAGTGATGTCAAAATAATAGCCACTAAATAAGTTTGATTATTTAATCAGTATTTTTAGGATAAATTTTAATCGATTATTTAACACTTTAAATCTAGCAACATCAAAACCAGTATCTTCTCACGCCGCTTCAAGAATACTTGTGCAATCATACTTCCTAGGTGTTTACAATGAATCACTTTCCTACTCGAATAACTCGAATGGCGACTCTATTTGTTGTATGCGTAGGCGTTCGCAATCAATGTCTGTCAAATTAAAGTCACTATATTGCAAATATAGGAATGACATTATATAACCATCGAAATAAGTATGTTATTTGTATGTTAATGACTCAGTGTTTTGGATCGCATTAGTAGTTTAAAATTGATTTCATATTTCTATTTCATTTGCATTTATTTGACAACGTTAATTACAAATGTATGTATGCCTTTCGCATGATTAATAAATCTGTTCAGTAATTTCAAGCTAATATAAGTTACAGTGTTCATTACTAGACATTTTTATATGTAATAGCAATATGTCTTCTTAATGAAAACATAATTTGCGCAAATACACAAATATCAATGCATGACCATATCTTTTAAATAGAATAAATTATTCGTTTTATTGTGATCTCTGTTGCGTTGATTACTCTGTGTTAACTGGACAGTAAGGTCACCCATCCGCTGATCCCATAAGATAAACTCTCTCATTCATAAAAATGTATTAGACCTATCCCTTTATACTATAAAAATATGTGACACAGCACATTTTTTTCTTATAACAAAGCTTTTCACTACTAACTCATAGCGTTCACATAAGTTATATTCACTAAGTTCAAGTTATATATGCGATGTTTGTAAGTTATTCGTAAAAATGACCTCTACGTATAAACTTGGAGGTTGACAGCAAGGCTTACTTGAGCTATTACATACATTCTATCAAAATAAATCTTTTATATTTTAGGAAATATTGTTATGTTTTTAACAATTTGTAGAATATTAGACATTTAACAATATTTATATTATCATTATACGATATGTGGAACAATTTAGCATATCTTGTTACTTGTGCGATTGTAACTTATTTTTTTATACATTGGCATTTAGTCCAATTTATGGCAAGATTAGATTTTTCAATCAAAGGTGTTGAAAAAATAACAAAACTGAAAAAGATAGAGATCTGGCTACCAGGTAATTTTAAAGGAAACCACGAAAACACCGTCACAGCCGTATATTATTATTCTCACACTGAAGTTTTACATTTATTTTATAAGTCTAAAAGTATGAATGACATTTCTTTAAAAACTGAGAATTTAGAAAATAAACATGCCAAAAAGGTTTGCGTAGCGGGTCATCAACAAAAACAATCAACTTTTTTCTTTATTTATTTGAATATACTTATTTCAGTTTATATATAAAATCGCTTTTAAAAACAACAAACAAAATTAACAACAATACAAATAGGTATACTATAAAAAATACGATATCCGATAAATAGTAAATAAATAAACTTTCTCAATCCGTAATAATATTTAAAATGCGAAAGCAACTGTGCCTGTTACGTCTTTACGCTTAACCTCTGTATAACGCATCAAACGCGA